ATGGGATGCACGGGGGCTGCTGGCACTCAGCATGCTCTGCAAGGACCAAGAGGGGGGGATGCAGCCACCACCCCCTCCCATGCCAACTCCGTCCCCGCTGCCCCAACCCACTGGCACCCGGCCCGCACTGGGACCGACCTCGCTGCCCCCAGCTCGGCTGTCGCAGGCGGAGCAGTTCTCATTTTGTTGTTTTCCCCTTAAAAACAAAACGGCTGATGCCTCGCTCGGGTCGTTTCCTCTCCCAGGAACACAGCCCAAAAACATCTGCGCCGGGACCTGCCCTGACGAATTTAACCCTCTGCGGGCCCGACAGCATTGGGGCGAAGGAGTCGTGGCCGCCGTGCCCCCCCCCCCCCCCCCGACCCCTCACCACTCATTAACTCGTGGTTTAACCATTGACGGTCCCGCAGGAGGAGCGGAGGAGGAGTTAACCCCTGCGCTGCCACCAAGGAGGGGCTGTGCGGGGACACGTCCGCGGGGCGGAGTAGGGCTGCTCGGGAAAGACCCCCCCGCAGAATTTCCCGGCACTGCGAACCATCCCTGACCCCCTCCCCAAATCCCCCTCCGAGGCCGCCACGCCCCGCGGGACCCCCTCCAGCAAGGAACCGACCCACCGCGGCGTCCCCAAACAGAGCGGGCGGGGGGCGGCCACGCAGCGCACGGATGTCACGCGTGGGACCCCTCCTCTCTCCCCCAGCAGGACAGGGGGGTGCAGGGGATCCCCGCGCCGTGGCCGTACCTGGCTCATGACGCTTCCGAAATCCATCCGGGGTCTCTCGTGCTTACATCCGAAGGGGCCGGCAGCGCTGCCTCACCTGGCCGAGAGGCGCGGGGGGCGGCCGGGAGGCTGCCGGGGCGGGGGGGTCGGGGGCAGGAGGGAGCCCGGCGTCGGCAGGCGTGAAGGCGGACTGCAGGCTGAGCCCCCCTCCCGCCCCGGGACAAGCCCGGAGAAGGAAGGAAGGAAGGAGGGAGGGAGGAGGGAGGGGAGGGAAAGGAGAGGGGAGGGGGGGGAGAGAGCCGAAGGGTTTCGCTCCCCGCAGGCGGGACCCCGGCGATGGAGGAGTCCCTGCAGCCCCCCTCGCCCCTCCACACCCCCAAGGCCGCCGGCTGCCGGGAGGTGCGATGGAGCGGCCCCGGCCTTGGGGGAGGGAGGGGGGTCCCGGGGCTTTTTTCCACCGCTCCCCTCCCTCCTCTCTCTTCTCCCTCTCTTTCTTCTCTTCCCTCTCTTCGGCGCGCTCCCAGTCGGACGCGCACACGCCCAGCCCCGCTTCCCTCGCCTCCCCCGAAAACGCCCTTAAAGGCAACCGAGAGTCGGGCCCCCCCTGCGTCCCGAGCCCCGAAATGCGGCACACACCCCCGGGGCAGCGCAGCCGGGAGGCCCCGGGCGGCGGGGTCGGGCCCTTATCGCCCCGCGTGACGCCACGGCGTCCCTGTGCCCTTGGCGGGGGGGTGGCAGGGGCACGGGCGTGGGGCCCGGCTCGGGGCCTCTCTGCTTGGCCCCCCCTGTCAGGAGGCGGTTCGCTAAGTCCAAGGAGAGCGCCCAAAAAGTGGCTCTTGGGTACCCTCCTCGGTGCCAAAGCGGGATGAAAGTTTACCACTCCTCCTCCATGGAAAGCAAAGTGATGGAGAAGCCGTGCACCATGGGGGTGCCCCGCAGCCCCACATCACGCCCCGCTGCCCCCACTCCTCCTCTCCCACCCCAAGCCCCAGCTCAACCATGCGAGTAGGCATGCGGACACCGAGGATCATGGCACAGCCTTCCCTGCAGTGGCCCACAAAAAGGCAAACAGGCCAGGGGGGGCTGTGAGCCAGCCACCGGGCCCAGCACTGTTGACATTTTCTCACCCAACACCTCCCTGTTCCTATTTGCATTTCCGTTCTGGTGCTATAGGCTCAGCCAGAACACCAGCGCTGGCCCTGACTGCAGCCAGGGCACAGAGTGGCAGCAAGGGGCTCTCCCTGCATCCCTCTCTCCAGGCTGGGAGTGATCTCCAGAACTTTACATCAGCCAGAGCATCCCATGGATTGCACCTCCTGTGCCAGCATGGCCAGGAAGTGCCCACATCCCATGCTATTGCAACCAGGGAGAGTGCCACTTGCATATGGAGAAACTGAGGCAGAGAGCAGCTGAGCAACCATAGGGATTTCCACCTGCCTCTGTAGGATGAATCTCCACAGTGAGTACATTCTGCCTGACCCAATCTGTGCTCAGACCCCCCTGTGCCTTATTTTCCCCTGGAAGCATTTGGAGGGAGCAGCAAAAGGTTTTAACGGGGGCAGTTCTCTCCTGAGCATCTCCTGCCACATCCACAGCAGCATCTGGGCATGGGCAGATGGAGTTGGGGTGCTGAGGGTTCTGCAGGGAAAAGTGGAGACAGAGGAGCAATGAATGCCCTGAGCTAGGAGCAAGCCATAGAGTCCAGCTCAGCTATGGCAGAAATCTCAGCTCCGGCACAATCCCAGCACCCAGAACATGGCCCCAGGATGGCTCAGGTTAGAGCCAGAGCCAGATGGGAAAGCATCAGCATCCCAGCAGGATAAGTGGGTGAGTGGAAGGCATTGACAGCACGTCCCTGTCCCCAGCCTGCAGGAGCTGTCCCAGAGGAGGAACGGAGCTGTCCCTTGAGGAGGTGACGTCACAGGACGCAGCCACTGAAGTCTATAAATTGTCCCTGAACTCCATCCTCAGCCAAACACCAAATGCATTCCAGAGCCATCTCAGGGTGGTGGAAGTAGGTTCAGCACTCAGCCCTGTGTCAACCCTCAAAGACCCCCAGTGCCCCCAGATCTGGCCAGTAACCCCCACCCAAAACAGCTCCTCCACATCCCAAAGCGAGCACTCAGCCCAGGAGAGCATCTCCACCCCTGGTGCTAGCAGAAGAAGGGAACAAGGCAACAAAGAGCCAGGAGAGAGGCTCCCCATGCCCCATGTACCGCTGATCACTTGTGCAATGATTGTGGGCAGGCTCAACATCCCCACTCCCTTTCCCCTCCCAGAGGGTACAAGAAGGGCCCCAGCTCCTCCAGCAGCAGATCCAACCCCCCCGGAGCTGAGACAGAGGCTGAATATTTTGGTGGTGACGTCAAGAAGGGGAAAAAGGAAACAGCAACGAAAAAAAAAAAACACCCGATCCCCTCCAGGACCCACTGCAGCGCCACGAGATGGGGGCAGTGCTGCCCCACTCAGCTCCCCATCCCACACCCTGACTGGGCCCGTGCCAGGGCCAAGAACACATTGCTGCCTTATTCTTCCTCCCTGCTCTGTTGTGCAGACCCAGAGGTGTTGCGAATTACCTGTCCCAAAGGCAGGATAGCTTTGAACGGGGCACTAGGGACAGGGATGAGTGCGATGGACACATCCTCCCTTACGCCATGCAGCACAGAAGCAGCAAGGCGCAGAGGCTGGGGAATGGACAGCCTGTCCCACAACATGATTAGGACACTGCTGTCCCCTCCCCATGTCCTTCCTTATCTGCCCATGACACAGAACCCAGGCATATCCCATACATCACAGTGTGCCCATCACCCCACATCCAGCCCACCACATCCCCCTCCCAAAGCCAAGGACCTGGTCCCTGTGAGAGGGGACAATAGGTGCCGCGGGCACTGGGAGCTACAGCTGTGGCCAGGACGCGCCTCGCTGCCCGGCCATGGCCCTGCTCCAGCACCCAGTTTAATGATGGACAAACCCCCCTCCAAGCTCCTGCAGGGGGTACTTGGAAAACAACCTGGATTTGGAGCGCAGCCAGTGGAGAAAGATCAGCCCCAGTGCACCGCCGTGCAATGTGCACACACACGAGATGTTCTTGCATAGATGTTTTAGCACACAAAGGGATGAGGATGGGACCCAAGGGATCTCACATGGCCAGGCTGGGCTCTGTGATTCAGTTCCCCCACTTTTAAAGGAAGCTGCAGCTCTGAGTAGGGAGCTTTAGTGCAAGGAGGGATGGCAGAGGTGGACTGCGGGGCTCAGATGCACGTCAGTGTCCAGCCATCGGTCTCCTCAGAGGGAGGGGGGAAGGTTTGCTAAGCAAGGAAAAATCCCCGAGTGGAGGGGCCGGGTGCAAGAAGGGCCTTACATGGGCATGGGAACGGCTTCGTGCTTCCCAGATGATGTCTGTGCGTCTGCCCCGGCCCCCCCAATGCCACCCACAGGCTGCAGGCACCCTGCCAGCCCTGCCTGCCACCCCTGTCCCCATGGCCACTCCAGGGTCCCCAGTACACCCCCCACTTCCCACTGTACCCTGTCCATGTGGAGTTTTTAGCTGAATGGGGTCAAAAGGGGGGCGGCAGGAGAGGTAAGGGCAGGTCCCCCCAAAGTAACTTGTGAAGTGGCCACAACAACACTGGGGGATTCCAGAGACGGCAGCAAACAGGGGTGCTGCGGGTTCAGCAGCATTTCCAGGGCAGGAGGAGGAAGCACTGGGGCACAAAGTACCACACATCCTGGGGTAGTCTCATTCCCCAACTCTGGGGGCTCAGGGGTTAAATCTGAGGTGCTTCAGGTGGATGTGAGGCTGTTTTCTCACTGTGCCAAGCCCCCTCCCCACACATGCCCTCCCTGGAGACCCTACAATAACAAGCAGTGTGAGTCAGCTGGCTGCTCGCCTGGCCCGAGGAGCCCCTCCCTGGGCACTGGCCCAGCAGAGCTTCACAGAAGGCCTCAGCCCCATGCATGCACCCCCTCAGAAGCACCGCATGGGAGGTTCTCCAGCCTCCAGCAAGCACAGGAAGGGTGACGGAGGCTCACAAACTGCAGCCAACCACAGGCTTCCCTCGCGCACAGAGCCAGCACTTTGGGTGCAATGTCCTACTGTGCACAACCCCATATTAGCCACATGAGAATCCTCATCAAACATACATGTAGGTGACATGAATGCCACTCCAATCAGACACCAAAGTGAGCACCCACCCAGTGGGGATATGGACCCCAGTACTCCCCCAGACATCCATAGCCCCTCCCATGCAAAGCGGGGCATTCCACGAGGTGCCAGCCTTACCTTGCTTTGGCACTTGGTGTGGCAGGAGAGCTTGCAGCCTGTGGGAGGGGAGAAGGGGTCAGTGGGGACACAGCCACAGGGCTGCTCACGGGGGCTGGACAGGGTGGCCACCCATGGGGGGACACAGGCAGCAACAGTACTGGGCACAGAGCACAGAGATGCACACTGCGGGTGCATAGAGGCACACACCTTGCACGTGTGCACACACACAGCCAGATGCATGAACACCACACGTGTGATCCATCCACCCACAATGACAGTGTGCCAAAGGCACCGTGCCTCTGCTCAGAGATTAATAGCATAAATGCATGCAAACACAGCTTGCGATCTCTTGCACATGTACATGTGCGCAGACACAGCTGTGCACAGCTGTGCACATACATAGTGGGGCTGTATGGGATGCTGACCCACCGGCAACACCAGGTGCTCCCCAGCATGCCATCCCAAAGGGACACGAGGGTCCCTGTGCAGCATGCTCCATGGCCACACTGCCCCCCTCCCTGAGGCCCCGTCCCCCCCGGGATCATTTCCTGCAGTTCAGGGAACACAGGAAGCCACATTGTTCCCGCGACCTGGAACGTTTCCTCCCACCACCCCTCGCACGGGGCTCAGCACCGCCACACACGTGCAGGGGGACACGTCACCGCGTGTGCCACTGTGGCCTCGAGGGGGACAGGGCCACGAGCAACAGCAGGGGCGTGAGCATCCACACACGTGATCCTGGAACAACACCACTGCACGCTCAATGCACGCTCGGCTCACTCACAATCGCATGCAGAAGCGTGCAAAAGCACCGCTGCATCCTCTCGCTCACACGCACTCCCGTCCCCTCACCTCGGCAGGTGCTGCCCTGGCGCGTGATGGCCTGCCGGCAGATCCCGCACGCCTTCACCTTCTTGAAGCTCGTCATCTTGAAGGCGTGCGCCGGGGGAGACTCCAGGTCCTGGGGCTGCAGGACACGGGAACAAATCAGCACCCCTAACTTTTGCCCCGCCCTATGGCGAGCTCTGCCCTGCTCGGTTCCCTCTGGGCTGGGATCTGCCTCCATCCGCTCTCAGCCCCCCTCTCCTCCTCGGGGTAATCCTCACCTTGTGCCCGGCCACGCGGCAAGGGGTGCCAACGATCACCCCCGGAGCCGCGGCCCCTTTAAATAGTCTCTGCCGCCCCCTGGCGGTGTGCTGAACACTTGTGTGTGCGTGTGCGCGCACATGCGTGTGCACACGCACGGGCACGCCCACATGCACACATGTCCGCAATTGGAAGTGTGGGTGCACGCACGCAGATGTGCGTATACACTTACATGTGTGTGCACATACGTGTGCGTTGGTGTGTCCCTGCGTGCTGCAGTGTGCGTGCATTTGTGTGTGCATGCAACTGCACGTCTGTGCTTCTGGGGGTGTGTGCAAGCGCACGAGTGCATGTCTGCAGGTCTGCTCACGTGTGTGAGCACGTCTGAATGCATCAAGAAGCTTGTGCAAACTGGCGTGCAAGCACAGTGAGTGTGCACATACAAACGTGTGTGCACGTGCACACCCAAGCATGCACACACACCATCGGTGTGCAGTGGGCGCCGTGGTGTAAAGCTGTGCTGTGGATGTGCGCTGGGCAGGAACATGGGAAGGGAGGGGGGAGGCACATTTAGGGAAGTGTCCCCATGGCCACACTGCTCACTATAGCCCAAGGGAGTTGTGAGTGCGGGTATGGGGACAGCAGGACATGGAGACAGCAGGAAACAAGGATGCTGGCACGGATCTGGGATGCCATATAGGGGGGACATCCCAGACTGAGGGAGGGGACATCCATGGCAGCGTGCCAGCCATGCCCACCCACCCACCGTCCGATGAAGATGTGACAGCCACAAATACGCCTTTTCAAGCCAGGACTAATAGGATTAAGCAGAGGCCCCGCAAACCCTGCACTCCCCCTGGGCCAGCACTGCAGGGAGCACCCAAGTGTGGGTACTACCCCGTCCTGCCCCAGTTTTCCCAGTTTGCCCAATACGCACATGGGGACATAAGGTGGGGGCACAAGGGCCGTGCATACGTGTGTGAGTGCACCTTGTGCATTCTATGGACATCCTCCCTAGCAGCTAAGTCCCCCCATGGCTGCCCAAGCCCCTGGGCTCAGTGCTCCCCCGGCTGGGGCTCCCACGCCACAGTTGCTGGGTGACAGCGAGGCCTCCCGATGCCATGAGCTCGTTTGCATATGCAAAGCAGCCCCCCTCCTCCTCCCCCCCACGCTGCAGGGTGTCCCGGGAAGAGGTAGTGCCCCCTGCTCCCAGGGACCCCCCGGGGATTCCAATGTGTATCCCGCATGCACATCTCCACCTCGGCCCCCGCTCTGCTTTGTTAACGGTAATTATCCTCATTAGGGAAAGCGCAGCCCCTTCTGTTCCCACCCCATGGAGACCCCCTCCATTTGTCACATTGCCAACACGCCGGTGGGGGTGTCACCAACCCATGGAACGTATGGGATCCGGCCTCTAGCTGGCAGGATCTGAGCATCATCCCTGTCCCCAGGGCTGGGGGGCACTTATGGGGGGTGAGGACCGTCTGGGGATGTCACCTTGAGACCCATGTCACCAAATAGAGGGGATGGTGGGAGTGGGGGGGGAGGAGAAGACAGGATAGACAACCCTACCCACGGCCCCCGAAGCAGAGGGACCCAGGGATGCTGGGAGGGGCCCCATGGGCTGGATGAGGCCCCGGGGAGAGGTGCCAGCTGCATGGACTCCTGGGTTCACTGCCCAGCACTGCAGAGAGGTGCGGGCCGGAGGGGGGGCTGCCTCCCCCCGGTGATCCGGGCCCCCGCCCCCCCCCTCCACTTGGGGGGGGGCCCCCAAGGGGGGGGGGGGGGGGGGGGGGGGGTTGGGCACCGGGGTCCCAGCCCGGAGCATGGGGGACCCCGGAGCACAGATGGCCCGGAGGGTGGGGGCTCAGAGCCGCAAGCCCCTAGCATTCCCCTGCAGCTCCCAGTCTGCCCGGTTCCCCGCCTCCCAGTGCCGAGGGACAGCGGACTACGAGGACCGCAGTGGAATCCCGGATGGTCATAACGGAGAAACAGCCCCCAGTCCCAACAACACCCCCTCGGAGACCCCCTCTTCATCCAGCCCAGCGTCCTTCGCCCCCCCCCACCGCCCGCTCCCCACCGCCACGCAGTCCACGGGCTGTTCCCCCCCCCCCCTCCCCAGCCCTAGCCGCTCACCGGATGCCCCCACCCCCGGGCCGCCCCCACCGCTCGGTGTTGCGGGGGATTGGGGTCCCAGCGCCAAGGCAGAGCTCTGTCCCGCTTTTCCCGACCCGCTCCCGCTCCACCACCACCGCTGCTCCCTGCCCCCCCCCCCCCTCTCCGCGACAGCACTCCCCACCCCGCGCCCCTGGTCCCGGAGCCGTACCCAGAGCAGGCAGGAGAGGCACAGCCCGGTCATGCTGCCCCGCAGCCCCGCCGCACCGCCCGCAGCCGTCCCGCTCGCTCCGCCCGCCCGGCCCGCCCCCGACCCCCCCAACCCCGGCCCCAAACCCCCCCCCCGGCCCCCATATAGCTGGGGGACAAAGAGGGGGCAGCGCCCTCCCGGAGCAACCCCCCGCAGCACCCACCGCGGAGCCCTGGGGGGGGCTAGCAGCGAGACCCCCACTCCCCCTTCCCAAAAGGCTGCGGTGGCGGCGGAGTGGGGGGGTGGGGGGGGCGATTGTCCCCTGGGTGGTCCCGGGATGGGAGAGCCGGGGAGGGAGCAGCGCTGTGCCAAAGCTGCGCCGAGCTGGGGGCCTCGCAGGGGGGGCAGGACGGGAAACGGCTGGGCAGCCCCTCAGCTCTATAGGGTGGGATTCGGGTGCTGCGCGGCACCTCCCCGCAGCCGCGGGGGGAGGAGGCCGGCGGTGAGTCCCGCAGCCTTGCGCTCAGGCGGGTGGCAGCACGGGGGGGTGAGTCAGGACGGTAGGGGACACGCAGGGCAAGGGATGGAGACAGCGGGGAGCGCCTGTCCGTACACACATCCCCCCACACCCCCCTCCTTTACTACAGCCTCTCGTTGTTGCCCGCAAATGAAAGCCCCTGGGGAAAACGGGGTCCCGGCCCCCCATAAATCACGGCGTCCCATTCAGCGCCGGGACAAGCCTGGGACCTGCATAAGGGCAGGGACAGGGGCATGCAGCGAGGACAAGGGGGAGAGGGGGGCATGGGGACACTGCCTGTCAGCGTGATTTAGGGTTCATTTTCCTAGCGGGGGGCACTACACAGAGAATCCCCCTGTGTGTACCAGTGAGGCAGGCACACCCCATGCTCACACCCCCTTCCATGCATAAGGGTAGCATAAGTGTATCATTGGTGGGGTCCTGCCCACGGCCACTGTGTCCCCAAGCCACCCCCACCTGCTTCCAGCAGCAGTGCCCCCACACTGCCCTTGGGCGCCCATCCTGCACACACATAGGTGTATGCCACGTGTCCCATGCGTGCCCACATGGGCATCCCACAGGAACAAGCTCACATATACACTCCATGCAGGGGCACAGAAGGGTAACACAACGATGAGGATAGGGTGCTGTGTGGGCACAGGTGTCCTCCACACTGGGTGATGGTGGGGACATGGATGCCCCACATGGGGTGATCTTTTGGCACAGGGATTCTGCACGCATTGGTTGCCCTTAGGCACAGGGCACTTTGCTGAGGACGGGGATGTTGAGCACACCTGGCATTGTACGGGAATGGGGACCCCCCCAGTGCTGGTTGCTTCATAGGTTCTCCTCACAGCATGCACGAGGTTCCCTCATTCTAGGTGCTGTAAGGACAGAGGGATCCCAGAGCACACGCCAGGCGCACAGGGATGCAGGTTATATAGTGTGGGGGGGGTCACAGTGCTGTGCCAGGAGAGACGCAAGGAGGGACAAAGGACATGCCCCCAGCCCCTGTGCACACACACACACACACACACATACACGCACACACGGTTTAACCCCTTGATACCTACAGCCAACTGCCCCCACCCCCACCCCGCCCCGTCTCTGTGCACCCCCAGAGCCCTCCCCAGCTCCATGCCCCCCCTGCAGCCCCCACCACGACCCGGGGCACCGTGCACTCGTGGCACCGCTTACCTCAGTGTGCCGGCAGGCGCGGCAGGGCAGGAGGCAGGATACCAGGTATTTCCCCCAGCGAACCAAGGTGGCAAAGCACCAGCTCAGGCGGGTCATGGTGCCCCTGCGCAGGGGTCACCCAGCCCACGAGGGGGCACTGATGGCAGCGGGGAGCCAGCCAAACCCGGCTGTGCCCCCCGGCTGTACCGGGCTGCGGTGCCCGGGAGGTGCCCAGCAATAGGCACGGGACTGTGCGGCAATGGGCTGGGGGCTGCGGTCCCACCAGGCCCTGCCCCCCCCCCTTGCTGGTCCCCCAGTGTCGCCTGCGCGCTGGCAGCCAGGCAGGGAGCACCGTGCCCGCCCATGTCCTGCAGTGCTTGGGAGGGAGCCAGCTCCGCCACGTTCCCCCTCCTTCTCCTTCTCCTCCTCCTCCTCCCCTTCCTCCTCCTCCTCCCCGTCCCCCCCCTCACGTCTGGATTAACCCCCCCACCTCGTGTTTTTGTCAGCCCCTCTGCACGCACCAGGTCCTTCTATGGGGTGGGTGCTGGATGCTGGCAGTGCCCCCCAAGCCCCTTGTCTTGTAGATGTGTGAGAGCTGTAAAGCTCTTTGAGCGCAGCCTCCTCTGTGCACTCAGCTGTGCCTCAATTTCCCTATGGTTCTCCCCAAGCCACAGGAGGGGAGGTCCCTGCCATCATTCAGGGCCCCCCCCCTGGCCCCAAGACCCTCAAACCCCGTGGCGGGGGCAGATGGGAAGGGACTTGGGGAGTCCTCTGTGTGCCCCAGGGTGGGCAGAGGGATGATTTTGGGAGTGGGGGGGGGACCAGGGCGCAGCCCCATGCCCCAAGCAGCAGGGAGGTGACATCACCACTGGCTGCACTGTCCCCCACCCCCTTTTAATTAATTAGCAGATGGCCCCTGAACCCCCCCGCTGTGCAGAGCCAGGCCTGTGCGGGGCCATTAGCGTTATTGGCTGCGCTGAGCACGGGCCAGGCCTCGTTAATTGAATTGCACCCGCGCCAAGGGCGGGCGGGTAATGCGTGCCCCCCCCCCCACGGCCCACCAGCACACCCCCTCAGGGACAGGGACACTGCTACTGGGTGGCACTCCAGGAGAAGGGGAGCTGGGGATGGGATGCTGCTGGGGGGACCATGGCACACACGTGTGCATCCATCCACACAGCTCTTGACCCCCCCAGTGTGGGGTGCAACCTTGCAGGGTGATGTGGGGTGATGGGGGCAAGGGGGGGCACTTCACATCCTGACACTCATCAGAAAAGCAGCCAGCCCCCATTCAGCACCACTTCCTGCTTTCACTTTGGTGACGAGCTCAGGCCCTGGATGGGGGTGGTTGTTCTCCCGGCCCCCCCCGGCATTAAAGGTAGGGGTATGGGGTGCTGGGGCAGAGGACAAGATGTAGGGGGGCTGTGGGCCTTCTGTGGAGCACTGCTTCTCCCAACAGGGCTCTGTAACCAAGGGATATTGTTCCTGGGGGCTTTTGTGTGGGGGGGCCATTTTGCCAAGGGATGTGGCAGCTCTTGTGGTTTCCCTGAACTCAACATGGTTCTTCAGCCCCCTCCCCAGAAGCAGAAGGGTGACACTCAAAGCATTCCCAAACCATGTGCCCCCCTTGCCATGGGAAGGATTGGGGTCCCTCCAGGCCTGGCAATGTGCTTTCCCCACTCCAGAACACCAGGCAGGAGGGCTTGGTAAAGGGAGCACCCATCAACTCAGCACCCCAAAACCTGGGAGCTGGGGCAGGTGGGGCAGAAATGTGGGGCTGTGTGGGGCATGGAGGGGACTCAGCCGCTCCCATCCTGAGCACTTCCTCCTGGCCAAGGTACAAAAGGAGAAGGAGTGTGGGCGTGTGGAGCAGTAAGAGGAGAGCAGCACCCAGCAGCACCTCAGGGCACCCACAGCTCTTCAGGTAAGGGGCAGCTCTGTCCAGGAAGAACTGAAGCATGGGCATGGCCATAGGCATAGGCGCAGGCGTGGGCAGGGCAGGCGGAAGGGAACACACATCCAAGGGCACCCAAGGGCACTGGGATGGGAAGCCAGGCGTCCTGCTGTCCCTCCCTGCCATGGCCAGCCACCACCTGTAGCGACTAGCCCTACAGATGTGCTACCCCTATGGGCACTGCTCCTCGTCTTGTCCCCTTGGTGCCACCCCCCAGCTCTATGCCCCCCACAGCAAGTCTATCACACTCCCAAATGCCATGCCACCCCTGCAGGCAGCATGCTGTGCCAGGGGGACTCTGCCCAGCAGGGGACTCATTTTGAGGGTCTGCATGCTGTGGGCCCTGTGCCCTCTCTTCCTGACAAGGGAAGGGGAATCAGGGGCCCCATGCACTGATCTTGAGGTGAGCAAGGGAAGCGAGAGCAGAAACAAAAGCAGTGCTTCCCCCATGCTATACCCACATCCTGAATACTAGGGGAGGGAGTTGGGAATAGGGATGGGGACAGGGTGGGGGGCTCAGTCCCTGTAGCATCTGAGGAATGGGGCAGAGGCTTGGGATGAGCTGGCCATGCCATGGGGCAGAGCCCATTGGGCATTTTGGATCAAGGCAAATGGACAGCAAATGGTGTGCAAATGGTGGAGCACCTTCGCCCATTCAATGCCCCACATGAATGGGGTGGCGTGAGCAGGGAAAGGGGTGCCTGAGCCCACCCCCCTTCTTACCTTAGCAGAAAGCAGCCCCAGTGTAGAGCCAGGGGAGTAAAAGTCTCCATCAGTGGGGCAGTGGGAGGCCAAGCTGGAATTTGGGGGTGCAGTGGTACAAGCCAGCTCAGCACCTCTAATGGGTGCCCCTGCCTTTGCAGAGGTCCAGAGCTGGAGCCATGGCAGGGGACGGGGAGCTCAGACGCGTCATCAAGGACCTGCAGAGTAAGTGTGCCAGCATGCCCCTTGCCAGTTTGTCCCCACGGGCACCCTCAAACCACCCCACAGCCACCGCTGTCTGTGCCCCCTGCTCCCTCCACTCCGCCTCTCCATCCCTCCACCAGTTCCTCTTTTGCCCTCGGGCAGAAATCCCCGAGCTGGAAGCAGGGAGGACGTGGGGCTGGGCAGACTGCCCGAGCCATGCCAGCTCATCCCTGTTGCCCTGCAGAAACCATTGCTGAGCTGAATCGCAGCTACAGGGAGCAGAACCTGCCGGTGACGGATGGCAGCCGGGAGCTGCACAGCCTCTGTGCCCAGCTGGAATTCCTCCTGCAGGTACTCCCCCCCCTGAGGGGCGCTGGTAGTAGAGGGTTCTCATATGAGCCAAGCATTCTGGGGAACCCTGGATGATGTCATCTGTTTGTGGGCATCCACAGCCATACAGGTGGGTGGGCACAAGGATTGGCCTCGCCTGCGCCCATATGTGGAGCATTTGTTGTTGTGTGTGCAACAAGAGGGGAAACTGAGGCTCAAAGCCAGCAAATGGAGCTGTCCCCAGCCATGTGGGGTTCGACTGGGGAAGCCAGCTGAGTACCACAGAGACAGGCTGGGCAGCACAGGGACCCTCCTAGTAAGCCCGTGTCTCTTCCAGTTTGATCTCAAGGAGAAGAAGAGCTTTTTTGGGCAGCGCAAGGACTACTGGGACTTCTTGTGCCAGGGCCTGGCACAGCGTCGGCAGGAGCACGAGGGCATCCGCTTCGTCACCTCGCTGGACAAGGTGGGCATGGGCCAGTGGAGGGGGCTCACAGGGCACCCACTGGGTGGGCATGGTCACAGACGCTGGATGCACGGTGCATGGGCTGTGCTGGGGATGCAGGTTGGCATGGCAGTGCTGCATCACCCCTGCTTCCCTCCAGCTGAAGACCCCTGTGGGCAGAGGCCGTGCCTTCCTGCGCTACTGCCTGGTGCACCGGCAGCTAGCCGAGTCCCTGCAACTCTGCCTGCTCGACCCCAAGATCCTCAGGTGAGAGCATGGGGAGCACAGGGTTGGCTGTGCCACTGCAAGGCGTGGGTCCCTGCTCTGTGTGCTTGAAGAGGGTGAGATTCTGTTTGGTTGCAGTGAGTGGTACTACGCCCGCAGTCCCTTCCTGAGTCCCCAGCGGCGGGCTGAGATACTGGGCAGCCTGTATGAGCTGGATGGCATCACCTTCCACCTGGCCCTGCACAGGGCTGACCTGGACACTGCCTGGCCCATGTTCTCTGAGTGAGTGCTGGGCACATGGGGGGATGCCAGAGAGAATGGGGACACCTGGAGCTCAACATCGCTGCCTTGGTGGCCCTGAGCCCCATGTCCCCTCCAGGACACTGGTGCGGCCCAGTGTGCTGAAGATGACCCTGCAGACAGAAGGTAGCAGCACGGGGGTACATAGATGTCCTGATGGCATCGCCCAGCCAGTTGCAGTGCCCCATGGGATGCCAGCCTGTCCCAGCCCACGGGCAGAGGGTGAGGAGGAGGATGATGTGGAAACAGAAGAGAATGGAGAGGAAGACACGGAGGACCACGAAAAGGAGGAGGACAATGAAAAGGAGGAGGACATGCCCAGCACTGCTGAAGCACAGTGTAGCACCAACGCGGATCCCAGCCTGACCCCAACACCCGACCCGGGGCTCACACCCGGCTCCCCAGCCCATAGTGCGATGGAGGCATCCCTGCGAGCACAGGTGTCTCAGCTGCATGCCGAGCTGGGGCGGCGGGAGGAGGCCTGGCGTGCCCAGCTGGAACGGGAGGAGCGGCAGCACCGGCAGAAAGAGGAGCGCAGCGCCCGGCAGGTCCGGCTGTGGGCCCTTGAGGCTGAGGCGCTGCGGGACACCAACGCCTTCCTCAGCCAAACGCTGGCCGAGGCGGCGGGTGGCCCGGGGGGGCTGGCACAGGCGCAGGAGGAGGCTCAGCGGTGGCGGGAGGTGGCGGAGGAGCGGGCAGCACGCCTGGACGAGGCAATGGCAGAGGTGGCAATGCTGACCTCGCGCCTGCAGGAGTGCCAGGCTGCAATGCAGGCACGGGGACAGACAGACGCCCCAGCCCAGATGGCCGCCCTGGAGGAGGTTCTGCAGCGGGCGCTGGAGCTCTCCCATGGCCCACTGATGGACAATCAGGAAGAGGGGGACCCCAGCACGGCTGCTGGCATGGCAATGGTACGGGTGAGCCATGGGGTGTCCCACTGTGGGATGTGGGTCTAAGAGGCCTGAGCCCTGCTTATCCCCCAGCGACTCACGGCCCTGGTCACAGCAACACGGGAGGAAGCCTTGCAGAGCAGGCAGCGGATCCAGGCCCTGCGGGAGGAGGTGGTGCGGCTGCAGGAGCAGCTCAGCAGGTGGGGACAGGACAAACTGCAGGGTGCCCTACATGCTGCAGGGGTCACCCTTGTGCCCCACTTTGAGCCAGGGGATGGGCAGGGAGAGAGATGTGGAGAGGGAGAGATGGAGTTGGGAAGGGAAGCAGGTAGAAGTTTGGGGATTGATGAGTAGGTGAAAGAATGGATGCATCAGTGGGCAGAGGGATAGGGGAATTAATCTGGGGTGAGTAGTTGGAGGGAGAGATGGGGTGATTTGGGGTGATTGGATGGGTGAGCAGAGGGATGAAGGGATGAAGATTGGGTGAGCAGATGGAGGGGATGATGGATGGATGGATGGATGGATGGATGGATGGATGGATGGATGGATGGATGGATGGATGGATGGATG